CCAGTAACCCTCCCCCTGTGTCCCTCATAGTTATGCACTCCTGTGTGTCCTGCATTTCCTCTGTGTGAATGTTGCCCCTCTGGTGCCCTGTGATTGATTGCTCCAAGGGATGCATTTCCATAGAGTATGTGGGTACGTCACCCTGGGTCGAGTGGTCTGCATGTACGTCTTATTTACTACTGGGCTGAGAGCCAGCCCCTCGGAGTGAGTTTTATTCCAGGTCCAGAAAGTATCCGAGGACCAAAGTATTGAGGGTCTCACCAGACTCCATCTAACCAGTAATTCTGGTCATTATTGAGTTTTTGGATTTTGCTCCATGCTTTCCCTCCCACTTTATTCAAGATCTCCAGAATTTGATCCTTTCCTGAATGATTGGCATTGGTAGCTGGACACCATCTAGTTCTTCTGGTCTCAAGCACCATCATGTCATAGGACTGATTGCTTCCAAATGCCCTGGGTTTTTTACTTTGCACTCTTCTTCACTTCCGACAATAGGAGACCATTAGCTACATCTTAGACGACCATTTGAAAGCTTTTAAGACTCCAGTCGCTACTTACCAATGTAGGATGAAGAACAAGAGTTATATGTATTTTGTTGTATCAAATGAGTCTGGTGTCCCCCAATACTATAGTCATGAGGCAGCAGATCCACTGGATCTCTCTCCCACAGTGTATGGCTGTCTGTGAGGGATTACTCTATATCTGTCTTCTGCAAGGATTGCAGGTATTTTTTTATCACTGGTATCTGTGCAAGATTAGCCTCTGCTGAATCTATCCTTGGTCTAGAGTATACTCCTGTTCACTGACATCTTCTCAGATAGTTTAAATGTTTATCTGTAGCCTGGTGTTTGGTGTTAATGGTAATGCTTGTTGTTGTTATGTGCCATCGAGTCACACCCAACTCAAAGTGACCCCTCCTTGCGTTTCTGAGGCACTATCACTATGGAAGTAGATTGCCCCATCTTCCTTCCAAGGAGTGGTTGGTGGATTTGAACTGCCAGCCTTCTGGTTAGCAGTCAAGTGCCTTAGCCACTATGCTACCAGAGCTCCCAATGGTAATGCAGTATCATGGATATACTGGTTGTATCAGCATCTGCCATCTGTATATTATGTGCACAATTCAGTGTCTTCCCTTTTCCTAATGCTATCGTGCTGGTCCCAGATTCTTTCTATACCATCCCTCCCCTTACACACATCAGCATGTGGCCCCCAACTAGTCTGAAATTAATCTCTTCCTTTCCCTCCCCACCCTGGTAATCTACAAAGTGAGTTTCCTTTCTCAAGCAAACCCTTCTTTGTCTTTTTATAGTAATGGGCTCATACAGTATCTGTCCTTCTGCGATTGACTTATTTCACTCAGTATAATGTCCTCCAGGCTCATCCACGTTGTGAGGTGATTCACATATCCTTCATTGTTCTTTAATATAGCATACTATTCCATTGTGTGAATGTATCATAATTTGGTTATCCCGGCCGACAGCACATAACAACAACAACATTCATCTGTTGATGGGCATTTAGGTTGTTTCCATCCCTTTGCTATAGTGAATTGTGCTGCGATGAACACAGGCGTGCATGTGTCTGTTCTGTGCTGCCTCTCACCTCTTTAGGATATATTCCTAGTAATGGATTTGCCGGGTCAAATAGTATTTCTATTTTCAGTTTTTTAAGGCAATGCTGTATCATTTGCCACAATGGTTGTACCATTTTACAATCCCACCAGCAGTGCACAAGAGTTCCAATGTCTCCATAACTTTACCAGCATTTGTTATTTTCTGTCCTGTTGAACTTTGCCTGTCTTAGTCATCTAGCTACTTTTCTACCTTCTGTGCATTCTGATTATGTTTGACAGTCTATTTATGCCATAAATTAGGGCTCCTAGATTTGCTCCTATTTTATCTTTGATGAATTTTATAGTTTTGGGTTTTACATTTAAGTCTTTGATCGAGGTTGAGTTTGTTTTTGTATATGGGGTAAGATATGGGTCTTGTTTCATTTTTCTGCAAGTGGCTATCCAGTTTTGCCAAAACCATTCGTTAAAGAGGCTGTCTTTTCCCCAGTTAATGAGTTTTGGACCTTTGTCAAAGATCACCTGTCCGTATATGGATGAGTCTATTTCTGGACTTTCCATTCTGTTCTATTGGTCTATCTGTCTATCATTGTACCAATACCACACTGTTCTGACTACTGTGGTAGTAGGTTTCAAGATCCAGGAGTGTGAGACCTTCCCCTTTGTTCTTCTTCTTCAAAAGTGCTCTGCTTATCTGAGGTCTCTTTCCTTTCCATATGACATTAGCAATTGGTTTTTCCATGTCCTTAGAAAACTTTGTTGGTATCTGGGTCGGGATTGCATTCAATGTGTAGATTGCTTTAGGTAATAATGAAATTTTCACAATATTCAGTCTACCTAACTGTGAACAAGGCAGGTTCTTCCATTTATGTAGAGCCCTTGTTGCTTCTTGTAGTAGTGTTTTATAGTTTTCTTTATATAGGTCTTTTGTGGCTCTGGTAACACTTATTCCTAGATATTTTATCTTTTTAGTAGCTATTGTAAATGGTATTGTTCCCCTTATATCTTTATCAGAGGTCTCTTTGTTGGTATAGAGGAATCCAACTGATTTTTTGTACTCATTGTTTAAAAACAAATAAGTTTAATTCTACCGCCCAAAGAAACATTACTATTTTCTTCTTCTAGCTTTTTTACAGTAAATAAAATCACACTGTTTTAGGTATTATTTTTGTCTCTACTTATTTTATTGCAACCCTTTTCTTGTGCCCTTAAATACTCTTTAAAAACATTATTTTTTATTAGCTATATAAAGTACACGTTAAATTGACTCTATCATATTTGTTGCTTTGGTATTTTAGGCTGTTTCCCACTTTTTCAGTTCTACAGATAAAGCTTCAATTACCATCCTTATTTATGAATCATTAACTGCACTACTCCTACCTTCAAACTATAAATGCTACAGAAAAAGACCAAGGACTATATATTTTAATACTCACTAGTTTGACTTCTAGTAAGTGTTTGATAGTTCGGTATTTTTACATGTAAAGTTGAAAAGTTAACTTTGTTTCATATTGTGATCAATTGGTAACAATTTTTAAAAAATTCTCAAACATGAAAGATGTGGAACTCTGCCTTGGTTGTATTTCTACAAGGTACATGTTAAACTATTTACTGTTTTGCAGCTAATTCTTTCTTCTTAAGGCAAGACATTTCCTGTTTACAACTTCATGGGAATAGGGTAAAAGAGCAGACTGAAGCACTCTTTGAAGGACCTTCTGGAATATATTATACTTTAAAAGTGTTCCCATGAGTCAAACAATACAAATCCATGACATACTTTTTTTTTTTTTTTTTAATGGGTAAAGTCCTATTGTTTTTTCTAGATAAAATAACAAAAATAGAATATAGAACATTTCAATTGTAGCTTTAATCCTTAATATTTAGAAAAGATGATTGTTTCCTATTTTACAAGTTGCTCTACCTTCCTTGCTTTCCCTTCTACTTCACTGGCATCTCTGTGAGGGCTGGAGGACAGTCGGCACTCAGATGCCCACTTATCTGGTCCAGCCCCCTGTGGTGACTCATCTCTCAGTTTTCTAGAACCACATGCTTAGTCTCTAGCATCTGGCATCCACCTGTGGTCGGCTGTAGACTTCTCAGAGTTTTAGGAAGGTCACTTTCTCCTTGACCTATTACTTTTCTGAAAATTGATGTGGTATATCAGAAACAGGGACATGGAGAGATGGTTCACCCTGTTAACTTGCTCTTCTTGGACAAAAATGACACTTCTGACATTATTTTATGAAGCTCTGGCATTGGCAGATTTCACACAGAATGAAATTATGGCTTATTTATTTAGAAGCCATTACTGGGGGCACTTACCATTCTGCTGGGGGCATTTTGAAAACATGTCAGGGAGGGCACTCTTGGCATTGAGTGGGTGGGACATGGGGATGCCAGATGCCCTGCTGACCTGCAATTTGTGGGACAGTCTTGCACAAATAATTATCCCACATCTTTCACGGCAGGACTTCTCAAATTTCTCCTGGGCATTCATGTATGTCAAAATTCCCTTTGTCACTACCTGAGTCTAGAATCTGTACATGTAGGCACAATACATTTTTCCCAATAATTTTAATATACATTGAGTTTTCTAGGTCTGTAAGTACTATATAAATTGGGGAGAAATGATACTTTTCTTATTGTGAAATCTACAAACAGCTGTTCTCCATTTAGGAAAATGAGATCACAGAGAGCTCTCCCACCCACCCAGAATCAGTTTCATTTGTACCTCCCCTCTTGTTCATGATTACCCTGTGAAAAGGCCAAACCTCTAGCAACATTATTGTGTCTTTTAATGTGGCCACCCAAAACCAAATACACTGTTGGTGAGTCGATTCTGACTCATATAGACTTTACAGGACAGAGTAGAACTGCCTCATAGAATTTCCAAGACTGTAAATCTTTAAGGAAGCAAATTGCCACATCTTTCTCCTGCAGAGCGGCTGGTGGGTTCAAACCGCCAACCTCTTGTTTGTCTGGCAGCCGAATCCTTTAACCACTGTACCACCAGGGCTCCTTTAATATAGCCAGGTCCAACTATTTCCATATGGAAATATGTATTTTTATTATAAACATTTCTTTTTATTTTTAAATTAAAATAGAGGCCTTTGTCTTATTATGAAGGTAGAACATATGGGGATACCATGAGTTGGGGCTAAGTCAATGGCAGCTAACAATAGGTATGTAGGTAGTTTATCCTACAAATAAAATTAATTTCAGAATGCTAAAGGAATCTTACACAATAAAAAAAGGGGGTATAACACTCTCCAGGTCTGAAAACCACTGATTTGTAATAAAAATGATAAAAAAAAAAAAAAAATTCTGCCAATTTATTCTGGATTCTGAATGAGCTTAGCTGGACCAAAGTGCAGTGAACATTATCTGTGAATTCTCTCTTCTGGGAGTCAAGAGTCCCAACTCCACTGACCTGCAGTGTGATCCTGTTCTTCACTAGGAGTCCAATCTTGATGTCCATTAAGTTGAGGTCCTTCTCTAGCTGCTGGTTGGCTCTGATTTTGGTCACCACTTCTTCCCTTAATCGTGCTACCTCTAGCTCCTCCTGGAAATCTAAGTCACTTTGGTCCAACAGGTGTACAAACTTGCGAATTACTGGCAATGGTGGGTTTTCAGAACCAACTGCAAGGAAGGGAATAAGCAGAATTAGGTAAGCTTGGAATCATTATAAACGAGAAGGAAACCAGGTCTTAATGAAGTATTACCTAGAAACTATACCAATGAAAGTCCTTGGTTTGTGGTGTGAATCAATTTGCTCCATGAAAAATCTGGTCGAGAAAATGAACTGATCATCATATAAATAAATGCACATGACTGATCATGTCTAGAAAAACTATTTTCTATTTATGTAATATTCATTTATCAGCACTCTCTCCCATTGTTCCTGAGACTCATGCACTGAGAAGATAGTATTATATGTGTCTTACAAATGAGGAACCTGAGAAAGAAAGTTAATATAAGTTACCTCACCTCCAAGAGCTTGTGGCTGAGCCAGATAAGAAATTATGTTTGTACTGCAGGAAGCAGAAAGTGGTTTCTTTCAGCCCCAAAGACATTTGGGAAGAAGCAAGAAGTAAATGAAAGCTGAATTAGAAAAGGTCAAAGAAGAGTGAACTATAAAGGCCAAACAAGATCCAATGGAATGACAAGTAGAACAAATGTTCTGCCTAGCAGGGAAAAAAAAAAAAAAAGGAACTGAAACTTGATCCTCATCCCTTCAGCACTAACCAAGGAAGGGTGCCTGGAATCTAGATGGTTAACCTAGTCGTCTAGATGGGTATTTTCATATAAGTTCTGAATTTCATATAAATGTCTAAACTTCATATAAATTCTAGTTCTTCATATCTTGAACATTACACATTACTTCCCTGGCATGCTGATAACTGCAAAAACAATTTTTTTTTTTTTTCTCCCACTGAGTTTAGTGAGATCAGTTCAGGGTAAACTGTGTGCATAAACCCTCTAGACCTTTAAGGATAAAAGATCACTCATCTGTGACTTAAAAAGAGCTCGACCCAGCTGTGGCAACCTAATAGCCTTCCTTTCCATCTAAGGCCCTTGTGAATCTTCCTTTCATTTCTAACTTGGTTCTGTGGTGTTTTCACAGTCATGGAATAAACAGAGTTAAACAAATAATTAACAGCATGTATTACTACTTTGCCATTTCTATGGTCTTCATTGGTGAAGTCTCCTTGGGTCATGGGACCTGATATTTTCTCATCACAGAACCCATGTGAATTTATTTTCCTTCCATTTCTAGCAGAGGAGCCAGCAGCAGGGATCCAGGTGAGGGGAGGGGACCCAGACCACACTTCACAAGCGGCAAGGCGGGAAAGCGGGGGATAGGAGAGAAAAAGGCCAGAGGGACCGGGACAGAGCGAGGAGTCAGCGGCCGGGATCCAGGTGAGGGCAGGGAACCCAGGCCTTCCCCACAAGCGGCAGGTGGGAAAACAGGAAAGGAGAGAAAAGGCCAGGGGGGCTGGGACAGAGCAAGGAGGAAGCGGCAGGGATCTAGGTAAGGGGAAGGTGGAGAGGTTTCGAATAGCTAAGAGAGACAAACTTGTCTGTTGGTTTGTTCTACTGTGGTGATGTGTTACTGTGAGGCTTGAGGCTGAGCCACTAGTGCTTCAAACCCAGAGCGGTACACATGGTGCACAGGTTTCAGCGCAGCTTGCAGACTGAGACAGACTAGAAAGAAGCAAGAGGCCATCCACTTCTCAAAGAATTGGCCAGGGAAAACCTTATGAATAGTGGAGAAACACTGTCTGACACATTACTGTGCAACTTTATGAATAGCCCGGAAACACTGTCCAATACAGAGCAGTGGGATGAGCCACTAGGTTAGAAGGCTCTCAAAATATGACTGGGAAAGAGCTGCATCATCAGAGTAAAACCAGCCTTACTGATATGGATAAGGTAAAGCTTTTGAGACATCCATTTGCTGACATGGCACAACTTAAATTGAGGAGAAACAGCTGCAAACATCCATTAATAATAGGAATGTGGAATGTACGAAGTATGAATCTAGGAAAATTGGAAGTTGTAAAAACTGAATTGGAACACAAAAAGACTGATATCTTAGTGTTTTGGTTACCTGGTGTCACTTTGACAGGAATATATACCACAAATGGGATGGTCTTAACAAACAGGAGTTTATTCTTACAATTTTGAGGCTTTAAGTCCAAGTTCAAAGTGCAGACTCTAGGGGCTGGGTGAAAGCCCCTCAACTTTGGGTTGCAGCTCTGCCTCCTGCTCCCAGCCCATGGAAGCTGGAGGCTTTTCTTCACTCAGGCAGCCACTGGCTGCTGTGGCTAACAAACCCAAGGTTGACAAGTAAAAAGACACAGTCCCGATGTTACCAACCCACACAGCAGGCCATTACTTCAAGCCCATTGTAAGTCCCAAGGTCGGCAGAGCATGGCAGGCTGCTGAACAATGACACGGCTACATGCAGGGTCCAAGCATGCCATGCTAGAGACCATTCCCAAGGCTTCTCCTTATATACAGGAAGCAGACCATATCCCCAAAGCAGCTACTCAGCTGCTTGTGGTAGATCCCATCATAGAGGTGATTGCTAGTCTCATTATGGGGAATAATTACCACCAGCTGCCCAGCCACTCACCAGGTCTGGACAAGTTGATACACAAACATAACCACCACACCCAGGCATTAATTAGCTGAAATGGACTGGTTTTGGCCATTTTGAATCAGACAACCATATGATCTAGTATGCTGGGAATGACAATTTGAAGAGGAATGGCACGGCATTCATCATCACAAAGGATGTTTCAAGATTTGTCCTGAAGTACAATGCTGTCAGTGATAGGACAATATCCATATGCCTTCAAGGAAGACCAGTTAATACGACTATTATTTAAATTTATGCACCAATCACCAGAGCCAAAGATGAGGAAATTGAAGCTTTTTATCAACATCTGCAGTCTGAAATTAACTGAACATGCAATCAGCATATGTTAATTATCTCTGGTGACTGGAACGCAAAAGTTGGAAACAAAGCAGAATTACCAGTAGTTGGAAAATTTGGCCTTGGTGACAGAAATAATGCTGGAAATTGCATAGTAGAATTTTGTAAGACCAATGACTTATTCATTGCAAATACAACATAAACAGCAGCTGTACATGTGGACTTCACCAAATGGAGCACAGAGTAATAGATTGACTACATCTGTGTCGAGAGATGATGGAAAAGCTTAATATCTTCAGCCAAAACCAGGCCAGGAGCTGATTGTGGAACAGACCATCAACTGCTCATAAGCAAGTTCAACTTGAAGTTGAAGACAATTAAACAAGTCCATCAGAGCCAAAACATGATCTTGAATATATCCCTCCAGAATTTAGAGACCATCTAAAGAATAGATTTGATGCATTCAATGAACACCAATGACTGAAAACAAGAAGAATTGTGGGATGACATCAAGAACATCATCCATGAAGAAAGCAAGAGGTCATTAAAAAGACGAGAAAAGAAGAGACTAAAATGTATGATAGAAGAGACTGAAACTTGCCCTTGAGTGGAGAGTAGCTAAAGCAAATGGAAGAAATGACAAGATAAAAAAGCTGAACAGAAGATTTCAAAGAGCAGCTGGAACAGACAAAGCCAATTACTATAATGAAGTGTGCAAAGACCTGGAGTTAGAAAACCAAAAGGGAAGAACACACTCAGCATTTCTCAAGCTGAAAGAACTGAGAAAAAAATTGAAGCCTTGAGTTGCAATCTTGAAGATTCTATGGGCAAAATATTGAATGATGCAGGAATCATTGAAAGAAGATGGAAGGAATATGCAGAGTCACTGTAGCAAAAAGAACTGATAGATCTTCATCCATTTCAGGAGGTGGTATATGATCAAGAACCAATGGTACTGAAGGAGGAAGTCGAAGCTGCAATGGAGAAACTGGCAAAGAACAAGGCTCCAGGAATTGATAGAATACCCATTGAGATATTTCAACAAAAGGATGCCCCACTGGAGGCACTCCCTCAGTTATGCCAAGAGATTTGGAAGATAGCTACCTGGCCAACTGACTGGAAGAGATCCATATTTGTACCTGTTCCAAAGAAAGGTGATCCCACAGAATGTGGAAATTATAGAACAATATCATTAATATCACATGCAAGTAAGATCTTACTGAAGATAATTAAAAAATGGTTGAAGCAGTATATTGACAGAGAACTTCCAGAGGTGCAAGCTGGATTTAGAAGAGGACGTGGAAGAAGGAATATCAAAGCTGTGGTCAGATGGACCTTGGGTCAAAGCAAAGAATACCAGAAAGCTGTTTACTTGTGTTTTATTTTATTTATTGTGCAAAGGCATTTGATTGTGTGCATCATAAAATTGTGGATAACATTGAGAAGAATGGAATTCCAGAACACTTAATTGTACTCATGTGGAACCTGTACGTAGACCAGGAGGCTGTCATTTGAACAGAACAAGGGGATACTGCATGGTTTAAAATCAAGAAGGGTGTGCATCAAGGTTGTATCCTTTCACCATACTTATTCAATCTATGTGCTGAGCAAATAATCCAAGAAGCTGGACTATATGAAGAAGAATGTGGCATCAGGATTGGAGGAAGAATCATTAACAACCTGCGATATGCTGATGACACAACTTTGCTTGCTGAAAGTGAGGATGACTTGAGGCGCTTACTGATGAAGATTGAAGAATACAGTCTGCAGTATGTATTACATCTCAGTATAAAGAAAACAAAAATCCTCACAACTGGACCTATAAGTAGTATCATGATAAAGGGAGAAAAGATTGAGGTTGTCAGAGACTTCACATTGCTTGGTTCTACAATCCATGCCAATGGAAGCAGAAGTCAGGACATTAGATGACATATAGTACTGGGCAAGTTGGCTGCAAAGGACCTCTTTCAAATGCTGAGAAGCAAAGATATCTCTTTGAGGACTAAGGTGTGCCTGACATAAGCCATGATATTTTCAATTGCCTCATGTGAGAGAGCTGGACAATGAATAAGGAAGACCAAAGAAAAGTTGATGCTTTTGAGTTGTGGTGCTGGTAAAGAATGCTGAAGGTACTACGACCTGCTAAAAGAACTAACAGATCTATCCTGGAGGAGGTGCAGCTGAAATGCCCCTTGGAAGTGAGAATGTCCAGACTTAGTCTTACCTACTTTGGTCATGTTGTCAGAGGGAACCATTCCCTGGAGAAGGATGTCATGCTTGGTAAGGTGTAGGGTTGATGAAAGAGGGGAAAAAGCCTTCGACGTGGTGGATTGACATGGTGGTTGCGACGAAGGGCTCAAGTACAGCAAGGATCACAGAGCTGGCATGGGATCGGGCAGTGTTGTGTTCTGCTGTGCGTTGGGTCGCTATGAGTCGGAAACGACTTGATGGCACCTAACACCACCAACAACCATTTCTAGCAAAGTTGCTGCTGTGTCCATTTCATAAAATATCTGAGTGATGCAGTAGAGCTCACTAATGTATTAGGATGACAGACCATTAGCCATCTGTGGTAGCTAAGGTTGTGTGTCAACTTGGCTGGACTGTAGTTTTAAGTGGCTGGGCAGCTATGATGCTGTTATTCTCCATGATGAGACTGGATGTGGTGTAATCACCTCCATGGTAGAATCTGCTGTGAGCAGTTATCAGTTGAAAGAGAGTTGCCTTTGGGGTGTGGCCTATTTCCAGGATACATGGAAAGGATGCTGTACTTGGCTTATCATCATCTCCAGCTCCTGGACTTCACCAAGTGGCCGGCTATGTTACCTGCCAATCTTGGGATTGTTTCATTCACAGCCTATGAGCAAACAATCTGCTTTACTGTCTGCCGATCTTAAGTTTGTCAGTTCCTGTAGCTGCATGAGTCAGGAGAAGCTTCCGCTTGCTCCAGTGGGCCTGGAAGGCTGCAGCCCAAGGTCTAGGGGCCTCTACCCCAGTCCCTAGAGCTGGCACTTGAATTCAGACTTCTAGCTTAGCCTTTGCCTTGAGCCAGTACTCTGAACTCAGACTTCTGGCCTAGTCTTCCCCGAGAGCTGGCACTCTCAACTCGAACTTCTAAACTGTAAGAGAATAAATGTCTGTTTGCTAAAGCCACTCACTTATGGTATTTCTGTTACAGCAGTACTAGAGAACTAAGATACCATCCCATTAATGTCTACAGCTAATGGCTCCCTCTTTTTGCCCTTTAGGATTCTGTATCTTTGTAGGTGCTTGTAGGTTATAAAAAACTATTATTTTAGCTCTATTAGTTACTACTGCTCAAATTTAATCTTTCCACTATCAACTCTAGGGTTTTTTTTGACATCTTCCTGATGGGAATCATTTTGTGTTATTTTAACTTCGGGAAATCACACAGTATCGGTTGGCACCTGTAAACAGCCCGAACACGATTCCAGGAACCTTCTAGTGGCTGTGCAAGCTTGAATATATTCAGTACCTTTCCAAAGGATAAGGGTAACAACAGATGATGACAGACTCAGGAAAATTACAATTTTTTTCATATTTCAAAAAAACAGTTTTATGAAAATATTGAATGAAATGAAAAATTTACAGTTCAATTACCACAAAATCACCTTATTTGCCAAACCCAGAGAAGCTTAGGTCTACCTTCTTCACTAACAAAATTTCTATCTACCTTTTATGCTTTAAAATAAAATCACTTAGATTTGGAACACTACAATTTCTTTTTCTCTATACGATTAAAAAAATAACAAATGTAAGTTTCTTAAAGGAAAAACATCATCACTACTATGTACAAAGACATGTTGCCTAAAACTAAACAAAAACCAGCCTACATTCATTTGGAGAATTTATTCTTAATTGTCTTCCACCTGTGAAGACAATAGCACACCTGTTTTAGTGCATTGTTGTCGTTGTTAGGTGCCATTGACTCAGCTGACTCATAATGACCCTGTGTACAACTCTTCTGAGTAAGACTGAAACAACTTGTACTTGCCCAGTTTATAAGAAATCCACTCTGTTTAAGAATAACCCCACCTACCCAATGTTTTGTAGTCATCTCTAGCTTTGTTTGCTCTCAAAAGTGACTGTATTTTCACAATTTCATTTTTCTGTAAAAGATGGAGACAAAGCATTACTTCCCAGAGTCCCATTTATTCCACAGTAGAATCTCACCAACATGGATTCCACTACTTCAGAACTGACAGATTTAGATGTGGTGTATGTGGTTTACTCTTCCATTTTCTTTGAGGAAAAGGTCAGATAAACTAGCAAAAATGATAACAGCAAGACTGTAGGAACACTGCTTCAGTAAAGAGATCTAAAAAGGGAAAGAATTTCAGCACTGGAATTAGATGATCTGGTCTATGTTTTTTTTTTTTAAATCCTTCTGTGGACTTCTGTTTAAATGAATCAGTTAGTAATTAGAAAACCTGAACAAGCCATGTTGGATAATATTTCTAGAATCTTCTCTCTTTGGCATTACTAGTTAGCACTGGTTTCCACTCACCCACTTCCTACCCAGTCCTGACTGATGCAGTCTCATTCTGAATATGGTTGGGCGGGGGGGG